GTAATGTCTGTGTTTATTCTCCCTTTGCTCCACCTCCCACACAGTTATTTAATGTAAGACTGAATTGCAAACTTCCGCAGAATTTTAATGCTTAACCTATTGAGAATATGTAACAGTGTTTTTCGCGAGTATTTTTAAAAAAAATACTATATTTTAGTGTTAGTTTTCAGTTCGCTGAGAAATAGTGTTACAAGGTGCTTAACTGAATGGGGCAGACTTTACTACTAAGTGGTAATTATACATTATAATAAATGTACTGCCATCAGTGATAGGTACAGTCTTAGTTAAGACATGTGTTATCTTTTTTGTATTTTTCATTTTCGCTATATAAATTGTTCCGTTGAGTAACAGTTAATCACTCAGGTGACCATTTGTATCTCACTTCAGCGTACATACTACTGATTATTTTTTAACTTATGAGTACTTTTGCTGTCAGGCCTACAGCGCCCATTGTGTATCGTGTATTTATTTTATTTTATTCATGTATTTGTAATCGGAGAGCCTGTCAGGATATATTTTCCCTATTCGTGCTAACGATGAGGCTATGGCTTATTTGTTTAGGAGCTCGACATCCAACCACTAGGTTACAGTTCCTAACATCACTCCGCCTACTGAGGTTTTAGCAGCTAGGCAGCGCCATTATCCCTTAAACAACAGATGGTGCCTAAAGAAATGCAAGTGGTGGTTGAGTAACATTTCCTCTTCCATATTTTCCTTTTATTTGTGCTAACAGAAAATAAGTTTTTTTTTGAGCATACTAGGAAGGCATGAAGGTTTTATCAAGGACTTTCAGAGATGTTAGTTGAAACGAGTAATTCAGCTGTCATTCTCTCTTTTTTATCATCTGCATAAAAGAAAGCAAAGACTACGACATCTCAAAGATTCTGTTTACCTTGAAAAGGCTTAGTCCAAGCAGTAGAATAATAATAAAACACCAATTTATTCTTTATTAAGTCACAAACTTAGCACCAGGAGATGTGCCACACAAAACCTCGTAGTTTATGCGACCTCTGGGAGACTGCCTGGATGCCCAGATCAAAGCAGGTGACAATAGAACATATCACCATTTAATCATGAAATGGGATTCTACATAATCACAGGTTTGTAAAATAGCCTACTTACTCATATGCAATGGATAGGCATTAATAAAAAAAACACTAAGTAATAGACGGTAGTAATATACAAGACATTACTTCAGATAGTTTAGAGTACTTGGAGAATTAGGACCAATGGCATAAGGTATGTTACCAAGGCGTTAAATCATAAGTAGACTAACACATTCAAATGTATTCAGATACCGTCAGCTGTGAACATAGATGTCACTCAGATCGCCGATAATCACTGTTCTCATCCAGATAACTTTGTTTGATTCTGTCGTTCTTATTGTATTCTTACTTCCAGTGTCTAAATTCCTAATGAAAAGGAACCATGTAGACGATGGGAAAATGAAACCCCTAGTCTGGACATTAAGAGTGAATACACGCTGTGTTTACGATACACCTGTAAATTGAATAAATTCCATATTTACTTAGCTTATTAGTGTCTTTAGTTAAGATTCTGTTACTTCCACCCCACCCCACCCCCAATAACTAGCTTATTCTATTAAACAACTAGAATTACCTTTTATTCAACTAGCTAACCAAGCCTATCTTACCAAGATTGCTTTTTAAGTTTAGACTTTTTAGTGCCAATATGGCCTCACCATATATTATTATTGTTATCACTGTAACAATAAGTTAACATTACTTATGTTTGATCATTATCAGGGCTGATGCAACTTGGCGGAAAAAGTCAGAAAAACATGGTTTTATGCCGGATGGACGACCGAAACAGTGGAAAAAACTACTGTTTGATAGTGTTTTTAACAACATAAAAAATAAGTAAGTGAAACTAATATTTCTATGAAATATTTCAGATTCTATCAGCCCCTTAGCTTTTTTGTTACGTCTGGTACTTCGTTGTGTAAGTAAATGGTATATTTAAGGTATTCAGCAGAATGTTCGCCAGTCACACATGGGAGGTGTAAGTTCAACTCCTGACGGACTCATTCTTAGACCTTGCCTAAATCCGGAAAGGAGGGAAGATTAGACATGAAACTAGCAACTTCAATCTGTAAAAAGAATATTTCCGCTGCTGAAACTTCGAAGCTTGGAGTCGTATGTTCCACTCGGAGTGAAAGAAGTAGTTATAGTAAAATGAGAGTATATTTCAAACACCGGTTAAGCTGGTTTTTATGTTGGTTTGGTTTTTGGGTGTCTCACAGGCTGAGTCAACATTGTGGACTGTGCAATGTTTCAAATACGCATTCAACTTTCCGTAGTTATATTTAGGTGGCTTTCATATTCGTGTTATGTCGCGAAGAAGACATCTTTTTGCCCTTTAATAGTAAAGTATGCTGCACACCCTCTGTAAAAGTTTCTCCAGAGAAGAAGAAGGATCTGAGGTCATGATCACTTGACCCTCCCAAGTGGACTGAAGGGTACCTGTCTATCTAGTAGTTGCTGTTACTATTATTGGTCCACTGGGGACAGAGGACATTCCTGTAGTTACTCCATGTAATGAGACTATATACTGTTCTAGTCTAGAAAGAAGCTAGGATACGTGTTCTGTGCTCCTGAAAACTAGTTTATAATTACCCTATCAATGAGTTTATCACCCTACTGGTGTTGGCTTGGCTCATTGGCTTACACACTTGACTTCCAACTAGTTGGTCGGTCCTGGGTTCCAATTCTGCTCCGTCCTACTTTAGCTCTTTCTTACATAATAAGTGCTACTCACAGTCTACTAAATGGAAGATCTGTTCCGGGTAACTCAGTTAAAACTAAATTACTCCTATTTTTGAAATCCCCTTGCACAGATTCAAAAGGGAGTGTTAAGGACTAACCACAATTCTTATCATACCATTGTCGCTATATATTCTCGTCAAGTAGTGTTTAATGCTCAAGACGTGCTCATGTGTTCAATGCGCGAATTACGATAGATTATATGTATACTTGTGCGTCGATGGTTCACCGGTAGAATTCCCGACCGATAGCTGCCACCTTGACGTGGTGGTCGGGCTTGCATATCGCAATGACCCAACAAACTACATTCGCTGGAACTAATGTTCCTGCAGGTCCTACCATACCAGGAAGATTGTTAGGATAGCGATTAGACTAAAAGCAGTTACCGGCATAGTGTAGGATTCTTTTTACACTATGCTGCGGGGTCTGTGGGCAAAGTCGTACTGCTGGGGTACAGGGATGTAACAGCAGTGAGGTGTTTCCATCAGACGAACAGCATGCCAACCAGCTATATTGTCTCTCCACTCTGGAGAGAAAAGATCAGAAAAGGTCGACCCCAAAAATTTGGCATCCCAACCTACCCTACAGTGGCCCTTAGCCGGTGGTAAGTCGCCAATGCAGAATCAATCCAAGAAGCTAGAAGAGCCAGAAGAATACCCCCGATAGCCTTTAAAGCCACACCGCCAACTTCATATTGGAGCATTTAACGTCATGACCCTCTGCCAAATCGGATAACAGGCATCACTAGCGAGAACTCTGACATCTGAAGCCATGGATATGTGTTGTGTTTCGGAGATATGCATACAAGGCCCGAGTGTGGCCATTCACTCAACCCCCAATAAGGTGAACCTACAAAATTCAATTTAAGGGTGCCAGGAGACTCCTAAGCTAGTTCGCGAGGACTCGCCGGTGTAAGGATAACATTGAGTGTAAGGGCGGAAAATGCCCTTCTTGACTAGATCCCAGTAGATAGCTGTATTTGTGCAGTCTATCTGAACGAGTCCGTTAGAGAAAGGAAGGACGGCGTTACCCGTCGTTGTCTTTTCATTGTCTTCGCTTACAACCCAACCGACTGCAGTTCGGACGAATTAAAGGATCATTTCTACATGAAACTGTGTAGTTCGCTGCAAAAAGCAAAACGTTCAGATTTAGTTGTTTTAGCAGACGACTTCAATGGCCAAGTAGGGAAGTTGTGCCAGACTGAGAAGTATGTCGGTGGTACCTATGGGGTTCCCTACCGACGAACCGAAAACGGTGATCGTCTTCTACAGTTGTGTTCAGATAATCATCTGTCCCTAGTCAGCACTAACTTTAGGCACAAAGAGAGACACTGTTTAACCTGGCCACCTCCATCACCAAATCAACGTTGGATTCAAACAGACTACATAGCCATAGGGTATCATTGGCGAGGGTCAGTGGAAGACTACCACTCCTTCTGGAACACGTGCGCAAGGGAAATCAATCGACGAGACTGTGAAGTTACACCGATTGAGATGGTTAGGACATATGTTGCGCATGCCTAGCCATAGATCGCCTTTCTCGACGGGTGATGTTAGCTGACATAGGATGGATCACGTTGGAAAAGAGCTAGTGACATCAGTCAATGACATCCATAACAGTTAGTTTAAGCCAGCCACGTAGGTAGGTGTAAACTTCCTGGTTGGGGTCCTCGGGATGGTAAAAACCAATGAAGGTTGAAGACAGTTAGTGATATGGCTCAAAATCGTTCTCAGTGGCGCAGATATATTCACTCGTTGTGCTTTATCACTTCAAAGAAAACTTGTTCTTCCGTATTACTATTCTTTTTGCCTCATACTTGTGTTTATTATCTCTCATGAATTTCTCTTTACTCTCTTCTCTTGCTTTGTGTACTACATGGAGTGTGACAACTCGAACTGCTGCATATCTGTGCAAAGTTCTACGTTGAAAGCAGTCAGTCAGAATACTTGCCGACTAAGCAATCGGCGTAAAGTTTGGTCCTCGGACAATGTACTGCTAAACCTCGCGTAGCCGGCAGTAGGCCCGGTGAAGACGGAGGGTTGGGTGTGAAGCTACCAACCCTACCCCGTAAATATAACGCCACTTCTACTGAAACTTCAGAAGTCTAGCTTGGGGCTCTATGCTTCACTTGGAACACTAAGGAATAAAAAATATGTATATTTATTGTCTCGTCCACTAACAAATATCGTGTTTTCTTGTTTTAATTCCACACTCTAGAGTATTCGGCAGTGCATTGGACAGTGAAAACGATAAAAATAAACTAGTTCGACACAATGAAGCCATTAGACAGCATACGCTAGCCGACCTGAAGATAGCAAAGGTAAGCAACACACACACACGCTGTAAAAGGTTTATTCCAGTCATGTATCACTAGAATTTGTATTTGAATGCTATTCCTTTGTTTACTACTGGTTGTTTCGAGACTGATTTTTTTCTTTTTAATGCAAAGTTATTACTACTCAGTGGTCAGCAAAGAATAGTAAACTGTATTTCATCATCATGGTACCCTGAAATTTCAGAGTTAAGGGTCATGAAAATTGCTCAAAATGAAGAATGTTGTCAGTAGGAGACGAGATAAACCTGATTTCATATGACTTTTCGGTGTGTATTGACTCTTAATTCAAAACTCTCTTGTTGCTTGAAGTCAAGCTCTGCTTTTGTCACCCAGTGAATGTTGATATTGTTCAGTGTCTTCTTTGTTTTGCACGGGTGTCCCTCTTTAGATAATTTTGACACTAAGAGGTAAAATAATTGTGCTCAAAAAGTACTCAAATACTGATGTCTCTAAGTATCACTGGGATTTTAATGAGCGCGAAATAGCATGTATGTTTCCAGTGTGATATTCGTTGTCAAGTAATTCTCCATATAAAACGGATTGCTTAGCATTCGTCCGATCATCATGAGGGACAGTGTGGGACTGGAGGAAAACAATTTATTTAATTCAGTTCGATCTTTCCCGTTGAGTGATTGAACCGAAGTGTTGAGTCTCTGTTGATATGCTGGCTCCTTGCGTGGATGCTTCAACGATGTCTGGGGATTTAACTTAAAGTAATTTGGTGGATGGTGACTAGCAGTGGAATCCAGGATGCGCATTTCGTCCTATTTTGGACTCGTCATCTGGATGTACCTGCATTCCCCAGGGAGGGGTGGTGTTCAGTCAACGGGAATGTCCAAATTGAATTAAATAATAACTAACGCCCGCTGCACAAAAGGTGGCTGTCGTGGCTCAAGTGGTTTAGTGGATAAAACGATGGCTCCTGGGAACACCATCAATCATTGGGGGATGATGCAGGTGCGCCCAGATGACGAGTCCCAAACCAGATGAAATGTGCATCCTGGTGGGAAACAAGTTTAGAAAAGATTCCTAGGATCGAATATGTAGAAGTAAAACGCACACATGAATGTTCATATATAAAAAACACACAAAAAATTGAAGTAATCAGAAGCTGAGCGATGTCACAGTGGTTGAAAGTGAATTTAAGTGATCAGCAAGCAATGAAAAACTATTTATTGGAAATATTCTTACCTCTAGAGAAGATACTACATGAATGTATCTTGATCATTTTCAGTGATTCACCGATTATGTCAAGTCAGAAGAACTGTTTCCACTCTCTGGGCTTCATATCGTCTAAATTCGGGTAACTAGCCTTAGTAGTACGAATTGGTGTGTTCGATTTCTAACTGTGTTTATAACAGTCTGTGACAAAATACCACTATAGCCAAACTGATCATATCACCAAGACTCTCCAACTCGATGTTTCTTAGCGTTTTATAGTAATTAAACAGGCTCTAGAAGGTATCGAAAAAGTTAGAACAAAGAATACAGGCGCATGGTTAAATAAATAGGTGTAGATTAATGAGGCTAATTATTCAGGGGCCAGAATTTTCATTATTGATATTTTCTGTTATTGAGACAAAAAAAGGGACTGTATACACATGCATAGTAAGAAAGTGTAAATGTAGGTGAACAAATCACGTGATGGCTGTGACCTTAGCAGTAGCATGTAAATTTTTTGCATTCAATACTGATTATACGTTTTTGTGTTATTTCGTGTTGAAGGCATTATGACGGTCACCTTTAAAGAAATAGCCTACACCAATTGAGGAAATATTTTTAGTGGAAAAGTCTAATCTAGTCACTTGTTCTCTTTGAAGGAAACAATGCTGGAAGAAATAGAATAAAAGCGTGCATCTTGTAAACAGCATTCTTGTCGTGTATTCCAGTAACTTCCTTTTGCGTCTAATGGGAATTCATGTCCCTGCCGTTCATACTTCAAAATAGCGTTTTCAGAACCTCAAACACCAGTGTTCTCTTTTCACGCTTCTCTTCACTATACCATAGATTACTCACGGCTCTTTCTCCCTTTCGCTTTACTGAATATCTTCCGCCTAGTATCCGGTTGTGCTCCTTTTTGAGGAGGAATCCACTGACTATTATTTATACCTATCCTCTTCTTGATTCTGTTATCTGGTATAAGCGAGACTCTTCCGTTATTTATTATGCATATGTCTTTTCACTATGGTAACAGTTTATGTGATCCGTGTCTACCATCTATGTCATATTGCCTCCAAAGCCTCAGGATGATCGGGGGTGGGTGCCTTGCGCTGCGGGTTGGCCACCCCTCCGCACACCTCTTGAAATGCTCCCATATGACCGGGCGTCTTACATAGCCTCTCCTAAGGAATTCCTACTCACTGCCTTCACGTGGCGGAGGTGTTTTCACCAAAGTGAGAGGGCGAAAGCGGATGCCCGGCGCTCTTCACCGGGTTGACTGTCCATTGGATGACAGTCTAGGGGAGATGGCTAAACCCTGATTCCAAACCTCCAACGACTGGCGTATGAAGCTCACCGGCAAACGTATGGACAAAGGGCTTGTTGGATGTCCTGGATGTCTGGCCCCATTCAAAAAGGCGTATGAACCGAACTCCGGTCACCGGCTGCCAATGGATAGTGGACTCCCTACTCCACTCCTACTGCCTTGTAGGTCACACTTGGTTGTGTAAAGGCTAGAGCTGCACTCTCAAACAAAAGGCCGAGCGATTCTGGGGACATCACTCGTACCAAATTCCCATGAAACTTCATGAACTCTCTTCATCAGATCGCCGCGCCTGGGCAGCGATGATTCGAGATGTTCATGAAGCCGGTTCATCCTCCCGTAGGAGATAGCCGAAGTAAAAAAAAAATCTATGTCGTATTGTTGTGCACCGCACTTCATGTAGTCTCCCACCTCGAAATGTTTACGATTGGCCCCCTGCCTAGAAATCTTTATTAGCTTCCCGTCACTGAGTTCTTCGGATTCTGTTGTAATTTTCTGCTTAGATGTTAATTCGAAATAGCAGTCATAGCCTCCTACCATACTGTGGTAGAAACGACGGTTTCTCAGTAGTCTTCTGTACCATCAGAAGTAACAGTAGTCCTACTTACTAGTTATCTCTCTGTCAACTCATTAGAAGTCGTTTTTATTCTCTTGATACCGGTTTGTTGCTCCCCACCATCACTTTGGTTTGCAACAGTCTGTCAGATATAAGCCCCAGTTACTATATTTCCGCATTGGTCACGCAACTACAATGGCGTCCACTGAAATTATTCTGTGCTCTTTCACGACCACTATTACGAAATGGTGTTCACTGTGTAACAGTCTTAATGCATCCACTTGCTAGGGGTCTTTTAGTTTTCCGTAGAATGCTACTATCATTTACACAGACTACAGGTGGTTTTCAGAGTATTAGCACAAATTTTGGATTACCTAACAGGTTAGTTGTCTATAGTTGTATCTCATTAAAGTTTTATAGTGAATCGACTATATAAAAGGCGGCCACTCTTCCCAAGAACTCTTCTCTTTTAAATGTTGTCAATCTGCCTACTGTTGATGTTTATTGGTAAAATGATTGAATGTAATAAGAAACAGCTGGTAACAGCATTTAACAGAATGAGTTTAGAAAACAGAAAGACTGAGCGAAGAGATATTTACTTTTCAATTAGATCCTCATCTCTGGCTCTACTCCACATTTAAAAGGTAGAGATGGATAGAATAAATTAATTTTACAAGGATAACACGTAATTAAAGATGACGTGGTCAAAATAAAAATAAAATAATTTGGAAAATTATAATTTAATAGGTTTAGGGGGATGGGGGGCGACGTAGTCCTGTTTATGCATTCTTGTAATGATTGCCACGGTAAGGAAAGTGGCTGTACAAATTTCTTCTGAACACATAGGCTTGGCTTCTTCAGGTGGATTCCGATTGCTTTAGCTGTCTGTAGAATACGAACTCGTAGAGCAAAATTAAGATTAGTCGGAATGTGATAAATTATGTGATAAATTATTAACATCAACCTTGTGCTCAGTATCAACAAGGCGTGATAAAATAGAACTACGAATAGATCTTGTTTGTCCCTTGCTTAACCATGTTGGATGATGTTCGGAAATACGACGATGAACCTGCCTAATTGTACGCCCAGTGTATTATTCTCGTATGAAGTACACCCTAGTTTCTGTGTGCCTCTTTCATATTCAAACATCTGTTAATTCTTTTTTCTTTTTAGTTTTTTTTTAAAAATTTTTCACACAGTTTCCTTTTTCTCTTGTTTTCTGTATCTAGAATATCTGCCCAACATATTTCCCAGCTGACTATGCTGTATTTGATCGGTTCGTGGAGATGTATCATGAAGCCATTGGAATGCATGTAGGATTAATTCTGTGTTTACATTGAAAAAATAATTACCGTTATACAGGTTGAAAGTTTAGTGCTTGAAGGTTTATCCGACACAGAGATTGTCCAGTTACTTGGTTGGATCAATTCATATCAGTTAGTTTTATAAATAACGAGATATATTTTGATTGTTAACTTCTTTACAGTACTGAAGAATTTATGAAGAATCCTTTCATGAATATTGACTTCAATCGGTTAAATTTAAAGCGTCCGATTAATTTGTTACCTGAAGAAACATTGAATACACTTCGAAAGCAGTAAGTTGGATTATTTGTTAATCTGTTCATCTTTCTTGTAGTTTATAAGATGTACGTACTCTCCTTATCAGATAGGAAAAATGTGTACACCTTAAGCCAAAGTTATGTGAAGGTGTTTTTTTAATGTAGGCTGTAGAACTGGAGCACTGTGATCAATCAAGTGTATATTTCTATGTTAGATGGATGATGTTTCGAGCACAATTTATCGCTTATAATCATATCAGTTTAATGATGCATCATCCTGTGTAACTGAAATTTCGGCGGCAGCTGTTATCACGTTGTGGCCTTCACTGGATAAATATCATTTTTTTTAACCTCTGGTACACTTATTTGTTGAGTTAGGCTTTAAAAATTCAGTTTCGATTGGAAATGGTTAGTGTAGAATGATAAACTGAATGATGGTGAACAACCATTGACGATAGTCTGCCTATTTTCACACCTCTGTATCAAGCTAAAAGATGTGCATTTTGTCAAAGTAATCGACAAGTTTTCCTTGAAATCGCGAAATATACCCATTAATTCATAAGTTTTTTTGGCTTATACAATATTTCATATTTTACTGTTTAGTCCTATTTAATCATTGTGTTAGTGAGACTGTTTCAGTTAAGTCATCTATATAATCAAGTATTACTTTGCAGGGATTTGAATGTTTATTACAGGATTGATCACGAGCCGACATTACTTAGAGAATCATTGGAAAACCAGTGAGTACTGGATAGCTATTTTCTCTTAGTCTGAGACTCTTCACCAGTAGGCACCCCAGTCTTCCGTTTACAAGACTAGCTCGTCGACCATTATTCAGCCACTGGAACCTGATCTCATTACCCATGAATTCCAATTTCTACCAATTTAGCTCAACCGTCCGTCAGTGTCACAGGCGAGCAACTGCTACCTTACTTGAATGGATCAACTCCTCTGGTTACAACTTCTCACTAGAACTCCAGGTAACTTTCTGTATACAGCCAGTTGCTGATGAGCATCAGATGAATTATCAAGTGTTAGTTTTCAGGAATCTGATTGGTTACTGGATTGGTCTGGTGAGAAGTCGTAACTATAAGGGTCTACCAAGTCAGACAAGAGGACAGTCACTCGTCTGTGACATTGACGGATGGTTGAGCTAAATATGTGTCACGAATTGGTAGAAATTCAAAATCATGGGTCACTGAGTCGAGTGCTGGGTCCCAGTTGATGAATGGTCTGAGAGCTCGCCTTGTAACCGGAAGATTTCGGGTTCAGACCCCAGTGGATGTGTACTTTTGGAAACTCCCAGATTGGGATGGGACAACTGTCCAGTACTTTCTGGTTTTCCGATAGTTCTCTAACTGATGTCAGCTTGTGATCTATCATCTATATAAGTCATTTGTATACATATTATATATGCTTTGTTGCTGAAATTTAATATAGGTATGTTTCCAAAACCATTGAACGTTTAAAATCATGGCTAGCGAACTCTCTTCTGAAGGACACCTCTGTAAGTTTTTATCTGTGTTTTAATTCACCTTTTTCCATTTATACTTATGAAGATATTTTACAGGAAATTTAATGTCTTATATTATTGTTATTATCAATGCTGCTATTCTTGTGTAACCAGTATGCATGAATTGGTTTTCAGGATTAAATGAAATCATATAGTGAGAATTGCCTAACTAGAAGTTATGACCGCTGTAGTGTTCCTTTGTCCAGCTCGAACAGGGGGTGGTGTTCGTTATTCTTCTAAAAGTGGCTGTGATATGAACAAAAATTGGACCAGCAAGAAAGGCGTTCTCACTTTTGATTATAGTGAACCGCTTTTTAGACACAAACGTAGTTTTTGTGTCCTACAACAGCCTGTAAAATGAGTACGTATCATTGCAACTGTCACACTGTAAACTCATCTTAGTGGCAACCTTAGAAAAATTATCTAGTTTATTCTCTCCAGAGTAAATTTTCACTGATAGAAAGGAAGGAATTTGATGCATGCTAGAACAACCCAAAACTTATGGGTTGTATAATTCTTCTTTTTTGTCAATGTATTTTATCGGACAGTTTTCGCACTGATTTTAAAATAATGGGGAAATCTCTTTAATGACGAGAAATGTAGAAGCTTTTACGTTCTTGCATCTCGTGGAAATTTCATTATACTTACGTAGTTTTTAATTATCGTTCTCAGAGAATCACTATTGTTATTATTATTATTGTTCCCTGGAATTTCGAGTGGAACCAAGGGTTTCAACAACACATCTCTCCACTTTGTCCTATTTTTTGCAGTCCTCTTCATCTTGTCTGACGACTGCCCATAATCTCTCATCTCCTCTCATGATCTCCTCCACGTCACTCTCGCACCGACTCTCTAATCTGCGTCTCCCACTTGGATTCCACTTGAGTGATGGTCTGGCACGCAATGTCACTCGGCGTTCCTCTCAGCGTGTATCCGATCCATCTCCATTTTCTTTGGCGTATTTGTTGAGCAATAGGTTCTTGATTGGTCTGTTCTCAGAGTTTCTTGTTGCTAATACTTTCTGGTCATCTGATCTTCACTAGGGGGAACCAGCGACGGCAGCCTTTGATAAAAGTCTGCAGTGGCCTGTAAGGAATGCTTCTTCTTCTGTATGCTGGCTGAGCGCAGAAGATTTACAAACTGGTTTCAGCTTGATGAAGGTCTGCGTCGCCTTTCCGATTCTGGTTTCGACATCCTCATCCGTCCTGTGTGTGCCTGTAGTTGAAACGATGCTACCCGAATAAGTGAAACTGGCCTCGTTCAAATTCCTCTCGTTGATAGTGATTAGTTCTTTTTCTTGTTGTTGTGTTGTTGTCTTCATCACATTTCTCTGTCTTCGCTGCTTCTTCTGTCAGTTTGCTGGTTCCCACTTGTAAGTCTTCGAGCTTGTGTGACATTAGACATAAATCATCCGTGGAATCCAGATCTTCTGGAGTAAGCCGACAATACAAAAACATTCATCTTTATTATTTTAAGACTGATACGAAATTAAGCTGACTTAACTCAAACACACATCGAAGAAACTTGCGTACCAATGACTATCTTTTCTGTGGTTTATCCCAATATAAGTGACTTCATTAGTTGGATTTTTCTGATTTCGCCTTCGTGTTTGTTGTGCTATTTGATTCCTTTTTTAAGAGAAATACATTTGCTCACTATTGTCAATATCCAGACTATAGATATTGCCGATTTCCTGGAATAATTTGAGTACTCATTGTTATCGAATCATCATAAACTAACAACTCTTGAAAATTAATCTGATGCTCACTAGTGTCTGGCTTGAAGTTTTAGTGACCCCAGTTGTGACCTCTGAGGTCCACCGGGTAGGATGCGAGGTCAAGTACTCGCCGATAGCATTGGTTGACTGTTGTGCTGAAATCGTGGAATAGACGGAGGTTAGAGTTCACGGGTTGACTGATCAACAAACTTGGCCTCGTAAACTGAAGAGGTCCTTGGTTCGATCCCCAGTGGGATTTGGTGTGTGTGTGGTGTTTGTATGTGTGCTGAAAAGCTCCAAAGTAGGACATTACAGCTGTCCAGTACTCTCCGGTTTTCAGTGTCTCTCCAACTGAGATATCAATCCATGATCAGACTTGAGATTAATCAAATATCTACGAACTAACTCTAGAACATTTTTAAAAAAATTGTTCAAAATAACAATTCAGAGGCAAAAATCTTGTTTTGATTCTCTGAACACGCTGGAATTATGTTGAATAGTTTTGATAATGACTAGTGTGCGTCGGTGGCACAGTGGTTAGGACTCTCGCCGACCATGCACATGGTCCGGGGTTCGATCCCCTATCGACGCACACCCGATATCTATGGTTGGCCTGCAAACTTTGGGCTACCGATATCCATGCTGAAAATTCCATACTCGTACTGAAAATACGGTATGGCATCAAGCTGTAATCAAAATAAATAATAAATAAATAAATAGTAAAATGTATCACTGAATTCAATTCTATAGTTATTCAAAAGTTAAGTAGGTAGATATATACGCTAGTTGATCATAGAGCCAAACCTAAGTACTTTATTTTGCACCCCGTCTTTGTGTGCCGCATGATATTTACTAATGTGAATTGTCTTTTTTTGTTGTTGTTTTAGGATTGGCAACGTTCCACCGGTCCTGAGTTAGACGGGTCTTCCAATTATTTCACTGACTTACCTGTATTGGTCATGACACCTGTCAATGAAATGGTAATTTATGCATGCATTCATGTGTTTTGTTCTCAAATTATGCAGCATACTTTCCAAAAGGATATTTTTTTATTGTCATATCGTTTCCACTAATTTACGCATCCTGGTGACTCGTCTGGTGATTTTTAAATTCATACTTTGATCACAGTAACCAGGCTTCATTGTTGTCTTATAGCCGCCGACTGGTAATTGTTCTTCACACCGAAACAGCTTGAACATGTTATCACACAAATCTGATAAACACAATGCAAGGCACATGTTTCATTCTATTTGTGCAACGGGAGAAGACAAGAGACTTGCTAACGGAATGTCTATTTGCACCTTGATATATATATATATATATATATATATATACATATAGGGAAAATCGTCATTTGCACAGATCTTCCGCGTTGTGCTGGCTACTTCTGCCTTTTCTTTATTGTGTTTCTTTGTCTTCTTTTGTGTCCTGCATGTTTCTCTGCAATATCGGTACATTTTCCCTCTCTTTTTTTTAACGTCAAATCTCTCTCTCTCTCTGCTATTTGATACTTTTGTGCCGATGACCGTCTCCTTGTATACTCACTGATAGATCTTGTCACCACACTCGTAGTTCTGTAACTGGCGTATATTTTTCACTTAGCACATAGTTTAGTCTCTTTCTAAATTCTATCTAAATGCAAAACCACCGATACTTATAATGTCAAAGTGTTGCACAGTAATCTTTCCAGTTTTTAAATAGAAAATGTCCACTGATTCCTCCAAGGTCTTCATAAAAATTAACCATCTTATATGAAGAAGATAGAATTTAATGTTGAATAGATATTTATCCACACGTGTGTGTCTGCCCACATATTTCCTGTTTTCCGGAGCTGGGTGAAGTCAGATGCGAAGCCAAGTTGACCAGTTCATTGACTGTTTGTTCAGACGTTGGTTTCAATATCGCTTTATGCTTGTGTGACTAATTAATTTCACGATATAATCCAAGATAATGTTAAAACCTTCCTGAAGCAAACTGCCAACCTGTCTGTCTCTGTCTGGAATCAACATAGAACTTGGCACTGAAGTGCAGCAGTTTGAGTTGCCACCTTCCAAATAGCACACAAAGGTAGACAAGAAAATGAGTGAAGGGAATCAATAGAGTTTTGACAAGTATAAGAGTGAAACAGAATGAGTAATGGTAGAAAGGAATATGAAGGTTAAAGAGACTGAATACATCTGCGCCATTGACAACGATTTTGAGCCATGTCACCTAGTGTCTCCAGCCATTGATTCTTAGAGTCCCGAGGGCCCCAACCCGGAAGTCTGCATCTCCCTACCTGACTCAGTTTAACTGTCCGGGATTTCATGGATTGATGCCATGTTTTTGTTTGGCCACCACTCACTCTTTTCCAACCTGCACCTATATCAGCTAGTAATGCCCGTCGGGGGGGGGGCATGCGCAGCACGTGACATAGCCATCTCAATCTATGTAACTTTATAGCCTCTTCGATTGATATTCCCTCTTTGCCCAACACTCTACGCCTAACGTCAACATTACTTACTTTATTATACCATCTAACGCGAGAAAGAGATCGTAAACATCTGTGGTCAAAAACAGACAATCTCTTGATGTCTTCCGCTCTCAATGGCCACGTCTCACCGCCATAGAGAAGGACGGAGCGAACTGCTGAGCAGTACACACGTCCCTTGGTTGATAGCCGGAAAACTGCCAACCACAATCTACAACTTCGACATGTGCGTGTTAAATGCTAATGTCAACTGTTTTGGAGCCATATTAATATATGTGTAAAACTTGGGCACTGTGGTAGTAAGTAATTCCATATTAGTTTGTTTGTTTGATATATCACACAGTGAAACAGTATTATTTACTGGATGACGTTTCGAACAAATTATTGTTTTGGAGCCAAATTTTTAAAATACCAACATTTCATGATAGTATAAGATATTTTTCTGTAAAGCAGTTCAAATAGCCGTGGAGAGTAAGCAGTCGACTTTCACCTACTTGGTACAGAGTTCGAATCCTACTTCAGTCTTGGTAAATGGGTAGTATATTATTAGCGCTTATCGGCTAAATATCGCCCATATCCAGATACATGGAAAATGTGTTCTGGGTAACCACATTCTAACCGAGATTACAAATGACGCTACTTCTGTCTATTTCGAATGGATTTATTTTTATTTTATTTTTTTATTTATTTTATTTTGTTTACAGCTTGATTCCACACCGTATTTTCAGTGCAAGTATGGAATTTTCAGCATGGATATCGGTAGCCCAATTTTACAGGCCGACCATAGATATCGGGTGTGCGCCGGCAGGGGGTCGAACCCCGGACCATGTGCATGGTCGGCGAGAGTCCTAACCACTGTGCCACCGATGCACAGTTTCTGTTTACCTCTGGATCTTTAGCTAAAATATAGGCGGACTAATAAAATAAAAGAGAAACAATGTCTGATGTGTGTCATCATATAGAATAAATATTTAATATTCTTCAACATCTATTCATTACATCATTGTATTTCATTTTGTAAAATAGACTAACCCATTCCTTATTATATTGTATAGATTGGTAAAGGGAATTTATTACACTACTTGGGCAACGCTGTTAAAGAACAATTTCTTACTCAGTGTGTTGAAGAAATGAAGTTGTTCGCCAAAGATTATGATGGTAAGTTGTGGTGTTCTGCTAGTATTTCCTGGTATTCCGTAGTCAAAGATGACTTTCCTTGCTTACTGCATATAATGTCACAAAATTCGGCATTTCTTTGAATCCAGTATGTTGAAACGGCTAACCAATTAGAATAATGCTTACGTTGTGACTAGTAACTAGTAAGCAGTAGTCGTTACCTGTGCGTCGGTGACACAGAGGTAGAATGCTCACCGATCACGCATGTGGTTCGGGGTTCGATCCCCGGCCACTGACGCACTTCTTCACCTCGCTAGGCCAGCAATAAGACTGGTAAAGATGGAAGGTTGGGCATGAGGCTAGCGACCCCATCCCGTAAAGATAAACACCACTGCTACCGAAACTTCAAGGCTCTAGCTTGAAGCCGTATGTTCCACTGGGAATGTAAAGGAATAAAGAAAGATGTCACCTACACCATTTGGTTAACTGTGTTTAACTTAACGTCCTATGATATGCATCAGTCGCTAAAATTTATAATTAATCTGCCTTATATAACCAATTGACAGCTCCTGGTTAAGGAATTTGAACTGAAATATTCGGATAATCATTTGATTAATGGATGCATGACGTCTGTATTCAGGAGTTTCTGTTCCAGTTAACTTTGTCCAGTGATTTGTGTATTCCAACGGACGTAAGGAACTGTTTTTTTTCTCTGTACGTGGGAAAATGAATACATTTCTGCTAAAAATTCTACAATGATAAGTTAGTCGTCAGTAATGTATCTTTACGAAATAATGAAGATGTTTTTCTTCAATGTTGAATTTTCTCAACTGGAAGATTCTGTTGCAATGATTTCATTGTCTTTCTAAGCGAAGTCTTCAGTATTAAAATTCGACATGTATACCTCTTCGCCAATAGTGAAAATAATAATTATGACTACTCTGGTTCATCATTCACCATAAACAACGATGCGAGTCATAGAAACACTCCCACAGCCCCTCTCTCACCAACTTCATATAGGAGCATTCAACGTCAAGACCCTCTTCCAAATCGGACAACAGGCATCACTAGCGAGAACTCTGACATCTCGAGCCATGGATGTTTGTTGTGTCTCGGAGACACGCATACAAGGCCTGAGTGTGGTCATCGATTTAACCCCACCCGGCCAACAAGATGAACCTGCAAAATTCAATTTAAGGGTGCCAGGAGATCCCTCAGCTAGCTCGCGAGGACTCGCAGGTGTAGGGATAGCATTGAGTGTAAGGGCGGAAAATGCCCTTCTTGACTGGATCCCAGTAGATAGTCGTATTTGTGCAGTCTATCTGAACGGGTCCGTTAGAAGAAGGAAGGATGGCGTTACCCATCGTTGTCTTCTCATAGTCTCCGCTTACATCCCCAACTGATCATTTCTACATGAAACTTTGTAATTTGTTGCAAGAAGCAAAACGCTCAGACGTAGTTTTGTTTAACAGGCGACTTCAATGTCCAAGTATGGAGGTGTACCAGACTGAGATGTATATGGGCGGTACCTATGGGGTTCCCTGCCGACAAACTGAAAACGGTGATCGTCTTCTACAGTTCTGTTCAGATATTCATTTGTTCCTAGTCAGCACTAACTTTAGGCACAAAGAGAGACACTGTGTAACGTGGAGTCACAAACTAACAGGAAACCTTCGTAACGACCGTGAACAGTGGTGGACGACAAAAGCGAAAAATATGGAAAAGGCATCGGAGATTAGCAACACCAGACAACTATTTAGTCTTATCAGGGAAACAGGTGGGAAAAGTCAAATGATAAGTGAGACAATCTCTGAGAAAGATGGCACCATAATTAGCTCCTAGGACAGACCACTGGAACGTTGGAAAGAACACTTTGAGGAGCAGTTTAATTGGCTTACAGCCACACTCAACTTATCGAACATCCAACACCTCTCTGAATGGTAATATAAACATAGGTCGTCCGTTCCTAACTGAGGTTACTAAGGCCGTCACTAGTCTAAAACGAGGGAAAGCAGCAGGACCTGATGGAATGACTCCAGAGGTACAGTGGAGACAGTTTACTGTCTGCGTTAACTGAGGTACTAGGGAGCGTCTGGAAATCAGAGGAAGTCCCGTCGGTCTGGTGTAAGTCATTGATTATCCCCGTATACAAGAAGGGAGACAAGTCTTGACTAATATGGTATCTAAAGTTCTAGGCTCAATAATAATGTGTAGACTAAGTGGTCCACATGAGGAACAAACACGAGAGAACCAGGCAGGTTTTAGACCAAGAAGAGGGAGTATTGATCATATCTTCGCCCTTAGACAGATTCTGCAACAATTACGTACTTACTGGCGTCCAACAATCGTTATATTTCTTGACCTGAAGGCGGGATTCGATTCTGTCGACCGAGAAGTACTATGGCGATGCTTGGCTGTGAAAGGAATGCGGAGAAAATACATTGCACTGATCAAGCCACTCACTCTACTTGAACTCATGCAGTCAGCCAGGTGAGAGCTTACAGCGAGTTGTCATCTGAACTGGTGACAGCTAGTGGTGTCCACTATCCCCATTTCTATTCCATTTCATCATAGATGCACTAATGGAATTAACCCTAACTCACTTCAGCGACTCAGGGATTGACTTGTTACCAGTGGATAATCTCGTTGACTTAGAATATGCAGATGATATAGTCCTTCCCCCTAGGTGAAGACGCTGACAAAGTGCAGTCTTCTGAACACCTTGAGCTGCAATCTTCGGATGTTTGGCATGCAATTCGCTGCCGCCAAATGTAAGATGATGAGGCTGCAGAACTGGACTGGACTACACTGACTCCTAGCTCAGAAATGAGGATTGAAGTAGTAGAGCGTGTTGACCACTTCACGTATTTGGGAAGTTACATCAGCCAACGCCAGCGGGTTGATCACTGACGAAATCTCAGCACGGATACAGAAGGCTCGTTTGTCATATGCCAGTTTACGCCGTCTCTGGCGTAGACGTGATATCCGGCCGGCTGTCGACCAAAGGACGTGTGTACTACTCAGCAGTCCGCTCCGTCCTCCTCTATGGCTGTGAGCGAGACATAGCCATTGATCAGTACAATATATTTTCTCAGCATTCCTTTCACAGCCAAGCGTTGCCATAGTACTTCTCGGTCGACAGAATCGAAGGCTTGAAAAGCCTGTCTAGCTGTCTTTGATCACAGGTGCCTGTGTTCCATCTCTTGTGTGAAGTGTTATAATAGGGTGAGCAATATTGAGGTTAGGTTTCGATCGAGTGCTAGATAAGGAGGGGAAATCAATCGACGAGGCTGTGAAATTACATCGACTGAGATGGTTAGGACTTGTGTTACGTATGCATGCCTAGCCATTGCCTTACTCAACGGGCAATGCTAACTGACATAGGATAGATGACGTTGGAAAAGAGCTAGCGGTGGTCAAACCAAAACATGGCCTCATCAGTCTATGAAATCCACAAAAGTTAGTTTAAACCAGTCACTTCGTTAGGTGTAGACTTCCTGGTTGGGGTCTTCAGGACGGTGAAAACCAATGAAGGTTGAAGACAATTGGTGATATGGCTCAAAGTCGTTCTCAATGGCTGGCGCAGATACATCCACTCCTTGTGACCTATAATACCCAATGAAACTATATTGTTCTTCGTTATTACTATTCCTTTTGTCTCATATCCCTGTTTACTGTCACTATTTTGCATTTCTTTTTACTTTCTTCCCTTGATTTGTGTGCTACATGGAGTGTGGCGACTTGAACTGCTGCACATCGGTGCAAAGTTCTATGTTGAAACCAGTCAGTAAGTCAGTGTATCATAGGAAAGTTATTCACACAGTCATTGTGCGAATAGTATCCTTCTTAGACATGCTCTTTTTTTCAATGAATTGTTCTACATTCTCTACCATTTATGAATTTTTAAAACCCCTCTCCATTTTGTGTTATTTTTGTTTAGACGATATTAAGAAATACCGTGCAGCGTATATACAAGACAGATCGAAATTCCCCTGCTACATAGAGTATATTGTAAGTTTTCTTATGCGTATAGCTTCTTATTATAGTTATTCATTTTTTTCATCTGGTGGTTGGTCAGCAATCGAATCACATGACTTGGCTAATAGAACTCCTGGCCAATTATCTGGAGGCTACGGGTCCCTATCTTGTTGTGACTTAGCTTTAGGCGGTGTTCATTAATAGTATCAGCTTGCTGGTCCATGGCTATCTCAAGTAGTGTCATGTACGATTACTTATCTGTTCGTAAGGTCTGGTTTTTCACAGGCGTGAAAATCTTTTAGCGTTTGTGTTGACAGTATTGTTTCTTTTTTGGGGGTAGGGTGGGTAATTATTCAGCAAACCATTCAATTTTCTGTGTTTTTGCATCTGCTTGTTTCAGATTTGTAGGGTAGGTTGAAACTGCAGGTGCTGCCGTCGATTTCTACGCGCAAATGACCCGGTGGCGTTTTTGTGATATATATATATATATATATATGCCCCCGTAAAAATGCAAATCGAAGCTATTAATGTTTTTTTTTTAAATAATTCTATTTATCACTGCTAGTTAGCAAATACCTCATATAGTACTTTTTTAATGATTTTCGTTTAGCTAGCCAATGCAAACGGCGCTCATATGATCGCGCATAGTTTTGTCACGGTAATTATGGAAGAATTGGCTGAAGATTCATACCTCAAAGGGAATTTATCAGCTCGAATTGGCTACTTAAAATCAGAATATGAAAAAATTGCTGAACAATGGTTGGTGAACTGATTAGCTTGTTGATTTACTGTAGTTTGTACAAGGCCACAATGCCTGTCCCTTTTTTATATTGTTTACTTTGCACTCCACTTCAGTCACTTCAGGTGAATATACTCGTCAAGCAATCTGTGTGCTCCTTAGAATCCTGTTTACAAAATAAGCCATGAAGTTTGGTTAAGGAGACTTTCGCGTCGGTATTCCAGAGACTGCCGGCTCAGATCGCCCTGTTGCTCAGTCACCATCAGCCTTTTCACATCAATTTGATGATAAGCCAAGGCTACTAGGCGGCCTGCTTAAAACTTCGGCTACCGAAAACCTCAATCGAATTAATATGACCCGTTGCACAAGAGACAGTGGCTCTCGTGGTCCAAGTGGTCTAGTGGATAACACTTTGGCGTTTGAAACTATGGGCACTGGGTTCGAGCTTCGGTGGGAACGTCATCACTCACTGAGAAATGCAGGTACATCCAGATGACGAGTCCCAAATAGGACGAAATGCGCATCCTGGATTCCACCGCTAGTCACCATCCACCAATTAAATACTCAATCGATACATATATTGCATACAATTTCTCTTATTCTGTTTGTTTAAACCTCTTAAAGTGTATGACCTCTAATAGTACTGTTTACTCTGGCGAGTATTTAAAACATTTACAGACTGCTGATTCGTAAGTTTTGTGCTGAACAAGTGAAAAAGCATTATCATCGATAGCAGCTTATTCCAGTATATGAGATGACTGTTCCTCAGTGGTGGCCTTCATTCGTTCACAAAATGTACTCCTAAACTTTTTATGATTGGCATTCATCAACAAAATATTGTGTTTTTGTCGAAGGAGAAAAAAAGAGAAATCATAATGGATTAGTTTGCGCTTCAGACAAGATAGAACTGTGTCACACGATCTACTGTCAGCTAAACTTTTATTTGAAGATCCTGAACGAAGAGAAAACATCATGCAATAAACTCTGTACATTATATAAACGTTGTTCAGAATAAAGCTATTACTATTGTGTAAGATAGTTCAAATAAAAAGAGGATAGACCAATCAGATAACTTTCAATCTGTCTCACATTTGTTTCACAGACAGTCGTGTCGTTTGACTATTCGCGTAAATAATTATTCGTTGTTCAAGATATTATGTGTTAATATTTATACTGAAAATATTTATTTGCTTTAATATTACCCACCTTAAGGATCACGTATGCCGAAGAAACTGTATTCATGGATTTAAACCGGGTTCTTGGTGTTGTTATGACTGCCAAATGGTGAGTATGTCTTTCCACAGGGTCTCTTTGAAACAGTTATTAAATCTGATATCAGTTTGATACCGTAACATTCTGTGTACTAGCTGTTTACCGTAGCAGGCAGCCAGTGTTCTGTGGTTTGACCTGATTTGAGGCGGGTTAAGCCAGGTAGGTGGGTATAGCGCTGATGAGCTGGGCATCAAACGGACGACTGGAGTTTGTATCATTTAGGTCTGGCTAGCAGGCACTAGTGATTTTTTGCGAGTAGTTTCCAACTACTCGTATCAATCGGTATTACATGTCATTTTGCTGGCTTTGTCGGTTGTTTTTTTTTTAATGATATTATAATTTAATATTTCGGGTTTCCTTTGGGAACCTTGGTAAATATCAAATCTGTCGACCCTACTGCCACGCGTCCATCAGAGATACCCACTGTCTTTAGTTTTGTTTAATTTGGAATTGACCTTGGCTGACTTTATCGATTTAGAGATTGACTTGTTACCAGGCTAGACTGGTCAATTTTTAGTTTATGCATAATATTATCTTCCTAGGTTAAATCGCTGACGAAGTAAAAAATCTTCCGAACACTTTGATCTAAAATTGTGGTATGCTTTGCACTCGTCAAATGTAAGATGATGCAGCAGGATTGATCTCTACCGACTCTTAGTCTCAAGGTAGAAAGTAAAGCTGATTGATCATTGTAGTTATTCGGGAAGCTGCATCAGCCTCGATGGACTGATTGCTAACGAATTATCACCATGGATACAAAAGCCTTATGTGGTATTTGCCAGCTTACATCATCTCTGACGTGGATGTAGTATTCGGCTATCGTTCCAACGGACATGTGTACTACTGTGGTGAGAGCTGGCTGCTAGCCAAAGTTGATAGACAGTAATTGACGTCAGTGTTTATGTCCCCAATATTGGTGGTGAGAAAATGAGAACAAAGGCTTTGCTTAGGCGGATACAGTTAGCATATGGACGATCTGACACAGCCAAAAAGAGATGCAAGGTTAACTTTCTGTGAGAAACAACCAATCAAAAGACTCTATTTTCTACTAACAATAATCTACAATAAGGTACATTAAAATCTGTAAATATGTGTTGATTTTCCTTAATAAACGATCTGTTGCCTGGCCCTTGTCTTCTGTTGTTACACTACTACTGTACAACAGTCCTCTCTGTCCTCCTTTTTTGGCTGTGAGACATAGCCATTGCAAGTGGGAGATATGGAAAGGCTAGTTGTCTTTGACCACACATGTTAACATTCTATCTCTTGTGTCAAATGATGTAATATGGTGAGTAATATTAAGGTCATGCATAGAGTGATCTAGGTAGGAAAGACCAGTCAATCGATGAAGTTAATGAAGCTGCATCAGTTGAAGATGATTGGGATACGTGTTGCGCACACTGAGTCACCGCCGAGCAATGTTAACTGACACCGAATTACGTTGGAAGATTTTTCGATAAAGAAAGGAAGACGAAATTTGCAGTATAAAATGATATCATTCTATTTCACAGGTTCTCATCAGCTGCAGACTACCTGAAATTACAATGGTTATATAGATGATAATAACATACTTCAATGTTCGAGTGGTAGTAGAAAAGAGATACTATAAAACTGACGCATCCAAAAAAGAATGAAAGCATTATAATTTTTAGTTTAAGTTTTCATCATCAATTTATACGCTTTCGAAGTAGAAAAAAAGGGAGTGGAGGGGTAAGACAGAAAACAGAAAAAATTAACAAAACAGTGTTAACTTGTAGATTCACATAGCAACTCAAAAAACGAAAGTGGTTACAGTTCAGAAGATTGAGATTTGTTCAGTGAGTGGAGATCACTGAATTAGATGACTAGTTAATGTAATCAAAATCAAAATTCAGTTACCAAGGGAGTGAGAGGTTAATCGCACTTTATTCCAAAAACAGTACTTATAATACAGAATGGAATTCTCAGCGTTTTTCACAATATTGCATCTGATTTACTCAAAATGTAAATAAAATTAAAACAAAATTAACCGGAAGAATTTGTCCACATTTACGACATAAAGTCAAAAATATTCGAAGAACGAATTGAGATTATTAAATTTAATAATAATAACAGTGAGTTTGTTTCGAACGGTATTGTCCATTCAGTTTGGAAATTTTAGCATGTTATAGATTATTGGATCTAATGTTCTGTTGATATAGTTTAGTGAGGGGAAATACAAAATTAACAGTTATAATACAGCTTAAATTATGTCAAAACTTATGAGAAAAAATAAACAAAATCAAAATATTGAGAGGATTAAAAATATAAGAAATACAATAACAATAAAGTTTGATGTTGTAAGGGTGGAGGAAATGGTTTATTTAGTGGTGCTAAGAAGGTTAGTTAGTTCATGCCTGACACTATTTTCATCACATAAAGTACGTGCTAAATATGGTATAGTGGAATTTTTATACTCAGACGTACGTGCATAAATTCTTCTGAAAAGACTTCTTGTTTTACCTGAGGAGACACAAGGTTGGAGCTGCGGGTAGAGTGGGTGCTCAGAGTCTGACAAAATTCCTTTAGCGAATTTGTTGCATGACATCAAGTGCCTATCAGTGACAATGTCAATGATATAGTCCAATGGGATACCACTCGTCCTACTGACAGTTTTCAGAGTTCTACGAAGTATGACATAGTCGTTTTTAAGCAATCCAGGAAAGAATAAGGATAAACAGTAAAGAAGAATAGGTAAAATACACGAGTTGACAAACTGTAAGTGTAGGAGGGGTTGAGTTATGCCCGAGTGCCTTAACTTCTTACTGTAAAAAGTCAGACGAAATATTCTTTTAGAAATCGCTAAGACATGGGAGGACCAGGATAGGTCAGAAGAGAGAATTGATCCAAGATACTTAACTTCAGACTTGGTTTCTATATCAGTATCATCAATTTTGCAAGGGTCATAAGAACCAACGGTTAGATCTATGCTGTATCTGGTATATACAACAGAGGTGTCAATTGCTCTACTTCTATTACATATTCATTCACTTTGCATAATCTGATCGGTTTTTGCTTGCCTTATTTTATGCTTTAACACTATAAGTATTATTCTTTTGTTTATATATTTTCTTATTATTTGATATATGAACATTTGAATCACAGGTTACGGCCTGATGACATGACTACACAATATCTTGTTGGTACACTAGCAGATTACGATGAAACAGTGAAGCATTTGAGACAAAATTTATATGAAAAATTAGCTGAAAAGTTGGCTGAACGAATGTTGATTGAGTATTTGAAAGCACTGATTATCAGGTAGAGGTTTATTTGAATAATTAATAATATCATATTTTCGCTTTCTTTGCTTTCATTCTATATTATATTTTTTTGTTAGTCAGCCAACGGTGGTTTCCTGTTAGTTATAATAATATCAGTTGGAAAGTAAATCCTACAGGTGTAGGTTTAACTTCCAATATCTCTTAGAAAACATTACTAAAGATTTCAAAGATTAAAAGAGTAAAGATTTCATCATGAGCTGACATTGGTTAGAGAACCATTGGAAAACCTGGGAGTACTGGACAGCTGTTTCGTCCTAGTTTGGGACCAAGAGGTCCTGAGTTCGAACCCCGGTAGGTGCGTACTGATGAAGAGTCCCAAACTAGGACGAAACAGCTGTCCAGTACTCCCAGGTTTTCCAATGGTTCTCTAACCAATATCAGCTCATGATGAATTCCTGTAACCAATCAACGAAATCCCCACAAACCAATACTTGAATATTGAAAGAGTGAGTACATTGAAACCATTTTTACAACGACCACGTCGCCGAGACTTTCCTGTCATTAGATCTTAGTATCCTAAGGATATTGAAGAAATAATTTCAACCTCTACTCATCACATAATAAATACTTCTCGTGTTTCACTCCATTCAGCATCCCTTAGGATTATGTTTAACCAAATTCTATTTCAAGTGTATTCCAGCAATCTCATATGATGAAGATTCATTATCTTCCTATTTTAACACTTTCTATCATTTAGTTCTACTTCATGTCACCTATAATTTCCTTTAAATAGCAATTATGTTACAGTTATTGGACAGGAAACAACGAAATTGCTGTGTAAATGTACTACATCTTCAGTAGCCGGATATGTGGTTAGTGAGTGCCAACGATGATGCCGAATAACTAATGTCAAACCAATTCTTAATATCGATGTCGAAGTGATGTCACAAACTAGTACATTATGGCATATATGACTTCCGAAAGCATTTAATTATCCGAAGAGCTGTTAAGTAGCTAGAAATACTGCACAAAAAAAGAGCATGTCAGCTGGTCTTCATTAATCTAAGTCTATAGAGGACACTGGTTTCTGATATCAAGCTATCATCTTATGATGTATATAGAATGATTAGATTGGAAATTATTGCAGGAATATGTATAACACTAGAGAAGTATTCGCCAGGTGGCGATTCAAAGTACAGGCTTCATGATGAGACAATGAGATTCGAATTCAATATGGTAAAGAACTGATATCCAGGAAATATATGTGCCCCTACAGTGTATTGCCATCTGAATTTCGAGATTTAATCTATTTTTCAAGTATTGGTTTTGTAGGGATTTTGTTTGATTGCATGGAAGATTTCACCATGAGCTGACATCAGTTAGAGAATCACTGGAAAACCTGGGAGTACTAGACAGCTGTTTCGTCCTAGTTTGGGACCAAGAGGTCCTGAGTTCGAACCCCGGTAGGTGCGTACTGATGAAGAGTCCCAAACTAGGACGAAACATCTGTCTAGTACTCCCAGGTTTTCCAGTGGTTCTCTAACTGATGTCAGCTCATGGTGAAATCCTCCCTGCAATTAATCAATTTTTCTTTTGATTTTAATGCCTCATTTGAATTCGTCGATAGATGAGTGTTGTAACAGTGTGTGGTAGTATGAAGTACCGAGATGTTATGACACACTAGTCAAAAATATTATTCACTTGAACATTTGTTGTTCAGAACTTCAATACAGCTCTCGTTCCTGCTGACGGTAACAGTGACTGCCAAATGGTACTGTTTCGCTTTCATTTTACGTTAGATGTACTGACTTGGAACACCAGACGGTTGTTTCTTCCTGATTCACGGCTCCTCGAAGGTACGTACACTGTGAATCCGATCCAGGACCTTCAGGTTACGAGGTGATCACTCAGTCATTAGGGCAGAATCAAATAGCCCATGGATTCTAAACTCTGTCAATTCGCGATATGTAAATCCATGGGTGATACTACTTGAAGAGTCTCAAACTAGGACGAAACAGCTGTCCAGTACTCACTGAATTTCAGTAGTCATCTGACTAGTGTCATTTCAAACCAATCAAATTCCTACAAACAAACACTTGAAAGTATCTCATTAGATCAAGAACTCTAGAACAGGAGAGGTAATGGCTGAAATCTTTTGTTTCCTGTATACGTAAATTTAGGACAAATGTGATTAATCCAAAATGCGTTTATCACCTATAATAAATAACCTTGAGTTATAGTTATGTGAAATAATTGAGAAACAATCATTAATACTGATATTATGACCAGGAAATAATAAAGATTTTGCACTTTATGATGCTAGTTTTCTATTTGGACTAAGTGCCTTTTTATGATGGTTTAACAGCCACCTAAGGATGTATTCCTTTTAACAAAATTGAAATATTCTATTAGTTCTGCTTATATGTGTATCCCTGCAACTAAGAAAGAACTTGTAGCCACGATTTGAAGTAGAGTTCATTGATTTTTGTTCGTATTATCGTGCGTACATGAAGAAGAGAGGAAATACTTGAGACGTTAGAAGAAAGGTTATGGTGTAGATTCTGAGCTTTACAACTAGTCGAAACCTTTGAGTTTTCATCTCCATGATCACGTCACCCGTGAATGGTATTCTGATAAAAAAAAGTTTTTCTTTGTAGCGTATCCTGTCACTTATGAAATGCAATAATCATCGCACAAATTTTGTCCCAAGGACATAATGTCTTTCCAAATCTCCAAGTGGTTACTTCCTCCACTTATCTAGGCAATATCGTTTCAATCACAAGCAGTCGGAACGGATGTGGATGTCAACATCAGCCAGAATCGGAAAGACAAGCAAGATGCACCTTCATCAACCTGAAACCAGTTTGCAAATCTCCTGCACTCGGCCAGCGAAAATAACAAGATTTGGATTTTCAACACCAATGTAAAGTCAGTCAATCAGTTCTCCTACACGGGTCAGAAATTTGGCCAGCGTGTCACGAAAAGGATTTCCAACAGGCGACTGTAGACTTCTGTCAACAGCTGCCACATTCGCTGCCTGGCTCCATACTGAAGATCAAATGGTCAGCCGGCCAGAAAGAATTGGCAGGAAGAAACTCCGGTTGGGAGCAAACCAACAAACAAGAGCCAATAGCTCAAAAAATATATGGGAGAAAGTGGAGATGAATCAAGCATACGTGCAGAAGACTGTCGAATGATATCGCGTGCAATGCAGGCCATCACTCGAGTGGAACCCCAATGGGAAGCGACGTGTGGGTCGTCAATGCGAGGGTGACATGGAGATCGTGTGAGGATATGAGAGACCATGGGCAGTCATGGACCTAGCCAAAGAGCACAGCAGATAATAGAACAAAGTGGAGATGTGTTGTTGAAGCCCTATGTTCCACTCGGAACCAAAGGGAATAGCAATAATATTAATAATGAATGAAATCTTCAGATGTTTTACTTAACAATAGTATTAGTCTTATTTAACAGAACAATGAAAAAAATATTTCAAATTGATGTGCTTATTTTAATATACACAGACGTTGTCCATTTTCCTCGGAGGCGGACAGAAGAAAAGCAGGTGAGAAAATTATACGAGATGGGAATGACCTTAAAAATTATTTTGAAGAAAAGATGAAAGTAAAAAGTGAGGTAAGCTAATTCTTACTAATTTTTGCATAAAAAGCGGTCAGCTACCACGTTATATGTAGATTGTCGTAAGCTCCTGGTGTTCACTTTACTGGCTCTCTCTTAATATGTCGACTTCTTATAAAAATGCGTTATCAGTACTGTGGTATTTCTTCTGATGCTTTTCACAAGGAGACTAATGCATATCTTCAATCCTACTGTTACCTATTTTGCTGTTGTAGTTGTTCCATGCCACCGTCTGTGAATTCTACTTATCACATAAGGGCTTGCAGATACTGCTAAGTTGTCCAAACTGAAGGAGGTGGAGCTGGATTCAGACTTTGAAACCTGTCGGCTGAAAGCAAAGCGCTTAATTCAATGAGCCGCATCTCTCCGCTGTTACCCACAACCCATTACCTTACTTTTTACACGGTTCAGTGCGTCTCATTCTCATTATTATCCAGTATATCGACAAGTGTGATAGGTGCTATTCAGTTTATGCGTAAAATTTTCACTAGTTTTACTGTGTTCCTGAAAGGGCTGTACACTGATTCATGTAGGTCTTATCGTAACGAATAAACTGTATTCGTTGTTATCCCCACATCTTCCGAAGTTATTTCACACCTATCATTGATTCAAGCTATTCACCTACTTTTTTGTATTCCTTTACATTCCCAGTAGAATATATGACTTCAAGCTAGAGGCTTGAAGTTTCGGTAGCAGTGGTGTTTATCTTTACGGGATGGGGTCGCTAGCTTCATGCGCAACCTTCTTTCTTTACCAGTCTTATTACTGGCTTAGCGAGGTGAAGAAGTGCGTCAGTGGCCCGGGATCGAACCCCGAACCACATGCGTGATCAGTGAGCATCCTACTGCTGTGCCACCGACGAGCTCCGTTCAAGGCTTGGAGGTCTTAAATATGTACCAACTATTGTTATTATTACTTAGATTAACCAGTAATGTTTATCTGTGAATGATCACAGATGTAAACGAATTGACTGACTGACTGGTTTCAACGTAGAACTTTGCACATATGTGCAGCAGTTCGAGCTGCCACACTCCCTCCTTGTAGCACACAGAGCAATAGAAGAGAGACAATAAACAAAGGTGAGGCAAAAAGGATAGTAATACGGAAGATCAATTGAGTTTTGTTGCAGAGTGAATGTATCTGCGCCATTGAGAACGATTTTGAGTCATATCACCGATTTTCTTCAGCCACTGGTTTTTACCGTTCCGAGGACCCAAACCAGTCATGAAGCCTTCACCTCCCAACGTGGCTGGATTCAACTAACTGTTGTGGATTTCATTGACTGATGAAGCCATGTTTTGGTTTGACCACCACTGGCTCTTTTCCAACGTGATCCTATCTATGACAGCTACCACCGCCTGTTGAAGGAGGCGATGGCTAGGCATGCATGCGTTACACATGTCCTAATTATCTCAATCGGTTTAAGTTCACAACCTCGTCTATTGATTTCCCCTCTTTACCTAAGCTCAATACTGCTCACCCTATTATACCACTTCACATGAGAGATATAACGCAGGCGTCTATGATCAAGGATAGCTAGACTTATCATATCTTCCACTTTCACTGGCCATGTCTCACTCACAGCCATAGAGGAGGACAGAGCGGACTGCTGAGTAGTACACACGCCCTTTGGTCGACATATAAACGAATTATAAGTTGAATCTCTGAAGTCAGAACATATTCCAATAAAACATGATCGGTAGTTAATAAGTGTGCTTTTGTTATAATTTGAACTCTAGGTAATCGCAGCCTACGACGCTCTCACCACTATTGGTCAGTTGTTCCTTACAACAGATACAACAATGTTGCCTTTGGATGTTGCGGTAAGTACTACTGTGTATTGTTTTTTTTTCCTTGGTGATAAGAACGCTAATAAGTGTCCATTCACAACACCCACCAGTTGAAATACTTGTTTTTATGGAAGTAAAGTTTGACAAGTCACTTGCTGCACGGTTGCGCTTAGTTAGCATCTGTCATGACACTATAGATAGCATCCGAGAGTTCATGGAGTTTAGCATCACAGGACGCTATCACACACATCCGTGTGGACTCCCATTCTGCGACTTAACGAACGTAGAAAACAAACACCTTTGAGGCCAGCATATACCCAGGTTCTTGATCACAACAGGAACTGTTACAATACTAGTGATTCTGAGGAAACATAATATCATATCCAGTGTGATGTAGAAACAATTATTGTTGGCAACCTGCGGTCAAAACTCATACTTTCAGAATCAGAAAGGCAAGGCAGACCTTCATCAACCTGAAACCAGTTTGGAAATCTTCTGCAGTCAGCCAGCATAAAGAACAAGATTCGAATTTTCAACAATAATGTCAAGTCCTGGTTCAGAGATTCGGCACGTTACCAAAAGCACTTCGAACAGCCCTACTGCGAACTGTCACTAACAGCTGTCGCCGCCTCATGCTACAGATAAGATGACCCGTCAGGAACGGTTGGAAACAATGAAATTTTGGAACACAAGAACCCACTGCAGGAAACAGAGACGGATTGGATGTACTGTGAAGAGATTGTTGAGTGACATCATGCGCTAGGCCCTCGAGTGCAACTGGGATGGGTTACCGAGGGTTGCATAGAAGAGACAATGTGAGGAGGTTAGAGCTCATCGGCAATCTTGGAGCCAGCTACAGAGAACATGATGAAATGGGGACGTCCCGTTGAACCTAACGGAATAATTAATAAATAGTCGTTGCGACCCATGTACCCTCAGCCTGAATGTGCGGTCAATATTTGTTCTGACTTATAGAAGAAGGATGCGAATTAATTTTATTATATGACAAGTAAATTTTAATTATTTTTTCCTAGTGGCCGGCAAGTATGACAGTGCAATTTTTAAATTTATTGTGGTCAACTTCATAATGCTTTATATCTTTCCTTATAGAATTTGAAACGTCAATTCCCTGATATTCGTCCAGACCAAGTCTATGCTTTGTTAATGGCACGTGGAGATGTTTCCTCAGATAATGCTAAAAGTGTAAGTCCTCGAAAAAGCATTCTGAATATGATAGTGTAAATTGCCCCCAGTGACTATTGTTCACTGCATTTATATAACTAAAAGTAATTCTACTGGGTTTAAACTCTCTTTCGCACAAAATAACCCTAATTGTAGTGAATTTCCCAGGCTTTTTTTTATCGCTTGTTAACTTTAGTGCTGAATCAAAAAAGCCATGTCATGAGTGTTCGATAAATGTTGATGCAATGAACTGTGCAAGGTGTTCCTCTGCAACCCACGTAGAACTTAGCACTAAAATTCATCACTTCCAGTCGCCGCCCTATGAAGAAGCACATAAAGTAAAAGAACAAATTCTAGTGATACCTTAATAAACAAAAATAAATCTGACTAAAATAATAACTAGATAAAGACCTTTGAAGCTTTTCAAAATCTAGAATGTGACAAGAAGTGGATATTCCTGTTCGAAGTATCTCCAACTACTGATTCTTAAGTTAAAGGTCCCATCTAGGCAATTTAATCACCTCCTTATTTATCATTGAAACTTAGAGTAAATGACTTCATGGTATAATGGTGGGTTTAGTCTGACTAAAATGCAACTGTTTTCTAGGCTGATCAACTGTCCTAGCTTCCTCATTCGGTCAAGAGACTTCCCATCCCTGCATAACACACTACCTTTTATTTAATTACCCTGCATACTGGTACGCGTAACATGGATATTTGAGGAAAAACGAAACCGTTTTGTTTTTCGTTCATTGGGAAATACAAAAAACATTTGTTATGATGAATATCATGCCCAAATTTTTTCAAACTGTTAAAAGTGAACTTGGTTTGGATATATATGGATATTTTAGGTCATTATCGCAGTCTTAAGGGACCAGAAATAAATCTCTTGTAGCCTAGGCTTCTAACACTGGACAAGAGTTTTAATTACAAATAGGAGATGTTTCTTTCCTGATGGAAGTGTTTGAGTGGTTTTCACTGCTCGGTCGCCCACAGTTCGAAAATTAAGTAAGAGAAAAGTTGAGTTTTGCCTGACTGTAGAGGTGACACTCTCGAAACTTTCTTCCATACGAGAAACCCTGTTGTCGTAGGTTAAGTTTAGAAGTATGGTTTTATCTAAATCCTCTTCAACATAATTGGACGACAATAGAGTGCAAGTCGTCTGAAAAAGACTGCAGTGAGTTGTACAGCTTCTCCCTCAGACCATCAACATGGTGTAAGCAACTTACCACTGTATTCAGTAGTATACGTTTAATCTACTATAATGTAACGTGTATCTGATTACTGTTGTCTAGTGTAAAATCCTCTCTTATTTAGGAATTCGGGGAAAAAAACCTCGGTCCTTGACAGAACGTAAACTTTTTCTACTCTTCCAAATATTTTTTATTCAGTACAAAAATTTAAAACAAACTTTTTGCTTGGTAATAATGTTATTTTACTGTGAGAGATTTAAAAGTTAAGACAACTGTATTGCAATATATATATTGTTTGTTTAATTTTCTGCAGCTTTCAGCGGACACTCATTACGGAAGAGAACTATCGCAGAGGCCATCGCCATTCACAATTTTCACACGATTAGCCGTGGCAATGGATCAACATTAATATTGCTTGAATACAGAGCTCACGAAATTCCCCAGCGCTTTCAAGCTCCAGTAATTTTTTTACCTAACTTCTTGACATCTATATAATAAACAATAATAATAATATATTCTCAGTTTTTTACATGAGGGATAACAGTTTACAGGCATCATCAATATAATAAATAACATACAGATTGTGTAAACATGTTTACAATTACTTATATACACAAGATATCTACAAGACAAAGTAGTGGAATAATATCTATAAGGTTACCTTAAACAGGAATCAGCAATGTACACAGTATAAAACATATAACTAAAGTCCGCGTTATATTTGATGATTGCGTTACTGCAGATAGGTACGGTAGGTTATTCAAAAAGTGATGAATAGAAAACTTGTAAAACTTTAGTTAGTTCACCGATAATAATATTTTTTTAGCAATATCAACTGCCTGCGACTCACCACAGAAGTAAGTAGCCAGTTAAACTTACAATAGCAACAAGTAATTTTGTGTCCATACGCGGCTGGGATCCACAATAATGGCGAGCATGCAAGAGTTGGATATTATCACCACACTAGTTAGTGAGGTTATAAATCCAACCATCAAGATGTTTTCATTATGTCTTAAATTACCAGATTTATTGATATGGTATTTTTTTAGTATAAAGGTAACATTTCACAACTGTCATCCAGGGTGCATCACAGAAGAAAGTAATGGGTAATTTACAATGCAGCAATAGGATTCGTGACAGCCAGCTTTTTCCGTATCTTTTGTTATTGAACGTTGCCAAATATCTACATTCTTTACCATTGTAGCGGTAAATAATTCCCCAAAATTATTGACCACAGCAGTCATCACTCAACATTGGATGCTGACCCTCACTGTTCATGGATCATGATTGAACAAAGCCTGGAATGGCAGTCACCCCTCTATCTCAACTTCATCGACTTTGAAAAGGCCTTCGACAGCGTCGATGGAGAGGTAATTTGGAAACTACTTCGCTACTATGGGGTGACACCGACAATTTTAAATCTCATCCAACAGCTGTACGACAATGCTGTATGCCAAGTAATCCACAACGGGAAACTTACTGAATCCTTCGAAGTGAGGACAGGAGTAAGACAAGGCTGCCTACTATCGCCAATGATTCTCCTGATTGCAGTAGACTGGATAATGCGACAAACAGCGGGCAATGAGGAAACAGGTATAAAATGGACTCACACAAAAAACTTGGAGGATCTGGACTTCGCCGATGATATATGTCTGATTTCCCACAAACTGGAAGATATGCAAATGAAAAGCGACAAGTTGGCAGAAGAAGCATCCAGAGAAGATATGACTTTAGGTGAACATAGAGAAAACAGAGGTGATGAAGATTCCTGGGTAACACCACCAATAGCAACAACGACAATAGACAACAATCAACATAAATTGGGAGGAATCTGAAAGAAACAACCCCCTTTACCTACCTGGGAAGCACCGTTTCAACTACAGACGGACGGAACTGACGAGGATATCAAAGCAAGAATCGGAAAAGCAAGACAAGCTTTCACTACTCTCAAGTCTGTGTGGATGTCAACAGCACTCAGCATCAAAAATAACATCCGGATTTTCAACTCCAATGTGAAGTCAGTCAGTGCTACTATACGGATCAGAGACTTGGCCAGCGCGTCATAAAGAGCATCTCAAACAAACTACAGACCTTCATTAACAGTTGTCTTCGCTCAATACTCAAGATCAGATGGCCGGTCAGAAAAGATCAGCAACGAGGATGGATCTCTGGGAGCGAACCAACACAGCAGGAACCGATTGTGAAACAAATAGGCAAGAAGAAATGGAGATGGATTGGCCATACTCTGAGGAAACCATCAAGTGACATCACTAGACAAGCCATCGCTCGAGTGGAACCCGAAAGGGAAGCGGCGAGTTCGTCGTCAGTGCAAGGGTGACTTGGAGGAGATCATGTGAAGAGGAGATGAAAACGTGTGGGCAGACTTGGAGCCAGGTAAGACTCTAGCAGAGAACAGAACGCAATGGAAACGCACAGCTGTAACCCTATGTTCCTCTAGGAATTAAAGGAAACGATAATAATAAGTTTTCAATGAACCTTCATAAAAGAACCATGTTCATACAGAGTGACAAGCAACATTTAAGTGTAGCTACGAATTAAAAACAAATTCGTCCTAATCATCATATATATATATATATATAGAGAGAGAGAGAGTGTGTGTGTGTGTGTGTGAGTGAGTGAATAAAGATCCAACCTTTGAGTGTTTTCAGTTCCACACTACCAGCATTTATTTCCTCTCCGTATTCAGTCGGCTCTGTCTAGCATCTCACCATTCCCACTGTCGAAACTGCCATTATCGATGTCATTCTGATTGAATTTCGCTAACTAGTGCTACTTAATAAACTTGAACAAAGCAAGAACAACAATTGTACCAGGATAATATGAGCTCATCTTTTATTATTTCGAGGATTCTTCTCAACTGGTTACAACCTGAACGATAAAAAATATGAATTACATTACATTAAAGATTTGAACATACTTTTCCACGATCACAAGGAGTAATTGGTAGGAAGTAAAAGTAACATTAGTCCGGAATGATTTAACTAATTAAGAGTTACAAACACTGACTATTTATAGAATAATTCAAACGAACTGTGATCAATATTTGACAGTTTATAAATATTTATAGAATAATTAGGCAATTAGGCTTGGAAACAAAAACAAGCTGTTGTATATTTTTTGTTGTCACCAGGGCAGTGCAAGATTCACCACTGTCTCTTTCTGCCTACATAGATTTGGTTTAAGTCGTCTGATAGCAATTGCTTCAGCAAAGCGTAGCAAGTTAGGTTTCTTTTGCTTGTTGATTATTTTGAATGACTTCAAGTTGTCTACATTATGACCAGTGTCTAATAGATGACGCGCAATTGCACTGTTTAATACTTGTGGACCTTTCAGTCTCAGGTTCTTTGGTATGTGTTCAGAAATGTGGACAATAACCCTTCTCTCTGTTCTTCCGATGTATGTGCTTTGGTACGTACATGTAAATTGGTAGACACAGTTGGAGGTAACATGAGGTGGGTATTTGTCCACTTTTGATTGTCTCAAACAACTAGTTGTTTGATAAACACATACAAGCTTGGCGGCTGGATATGTTCTTTTCAGGGCAGCGTTCAGTCTGCATCTTATTCTACTGGCAGTATCATCACCTTTGAATGCAAGCTGCTGAAAGATAGGCTTTTTCTCTACTGTGCTGCTTTTCACTTTTTCAACATGACGTCTCCCATACTTGTCGATGAACTTTTGTGGGTAACCGTTGTCGCGTAGGCATTTCTCCACAATGGATAGCTCTTCCTCAATCTTTTCTTCTGAACACAGCTTCCTTACACGATCAAATAATGTCCTCACCAATCCCTTTTTGTAACTTATAGGGCAGAAACTTTCGAAGTTAAGATAAACCGCCCTCCAGGTCTCTTTTCTGTGTATATATCTTATGATTTTGCCGTCTATATCTCGTTGGATACCCAGGTCAAGAAAATGGAACTTCTCCTCTTTTCCATGCTCCATTGTAAACTTAATATTAGGATGGGCACTGTTCAAGACTTTTAGTACTTGAGATGCATCATCAAAGGAATTACAAATAACGAAAGTGTCGTCGACATACCTGGTATAGAAGTTGGTCTGACTGATTGCGGATTTCAGCCTTGTTTGTTCCAGACTACCCATAAAAATATCTGCCAGAATCGGACCCAGGAGGCTTCCCATGGCGACTCCGTCAATTTGGCGGTACAGAATGTTGTTGAACTGGAACTGTACGTCTTTGGCGCACATAAGTAAAAGTTGTTTGAGTTCGTTCTTGGGTAGAGGAAGAAGTTCGGCATGTTGACATATAATTTGTATTGTTTCTTCCAATGGGATTTTTGTAAACAGTGAAGAGACGTCGAAGGACACCATAAATTTATTTGAGATGCTTACATTCTCTAATTGTTTAGCGAATTGGAAGGTGTCTTTCAGGCTGTAGACTGCTAATTTACAACGGATCGGTTCTAACATTTCTGCTAGCCACCTAGCTACTCTGTGATACGGCGAATTAATCATAGATAATATTGGTCTCATAGGGATGTCAGGCTTATGCATCTTTGGTAAGCCGTACAGGTAAGGCAATCTGGATCCCTTAGGCTTCAGTCCGTTGTATATGTTGTTGTCAATCAACTTTTTCTTCAAAAGTTCTCTGAGCTCCTTTGTGATCCGTCTTTCCATCGATTCGGTTTGATATTTCTTCGACGGATCAGTTCGAAATGTTGATGAGTCATTCAGAACTGATTCCACTTTTTTCACATAATTATCTTTATCCATTATCACAACACCTGATCCTTTGTCAGGTCGGAGAATAACAATAGACTCATTCTTCATTAAGTTTTTTAATGCTATTTGGTGATCTTTCGACAAAACTGCAGATTTTGGATTCGGTGATATGATATATTGATTAGCAATGTCGACAAGTCTAGATTTAAACCAACCTTGTTTTTCGTCATCCACTGGTTTTAATTCGGACAGTTGATGGTATAAACCTTCGAACTGGGTTTCGACATCAATTTTGTTGGCAAATTTCGTCGGAATGTGGAATCTGAATCCTAGTGAAAGTGCTTCTGTTTCTATCTGACTCAGTTTATAACTTGACAAGTTGAATACGAATTTATCAAGATTCTCCGGAATTCCTTCACACAGTGTTTCTTTAATCAGCGTCTTCGATAAAGTTTCCTCGAATTTTACGCTTGTTTTGTCCTGAACCTCTCGAATAAAATTGGTGAACTTGATTCTACAGACTAAGTTCATTTCATTTAAGATATGGTCAAAGCCACTAGCTTCTTCCTTTAATCTAGAAATGAGTTGTTTGGTGTACTCGATTTGGGATTTCGCCACACTTCGGGGATTTTTTGGCGATGGTGGCAACTTGCAAAGCAAAGCCTGACAGACTTGAAAAACTGGCCTGGAAAACAGCAGGTATATAGA